GCCAGTTACGCCACTGAAAAGCTATTTTAGCTCCTATAAAGTGCATATATTTTTGGGAAAAAATTCTATATTTTCCTATATTTAGAACTTGCACAGCCTATATTTCCTATCAAATTTGTCTAAAAAATGGCTGGGATGCCTGTGATGTCCAAATGAAAAACTAGCGATTAAAACACGCAAAAATCAATACGTCAGAAGCTAGATAAAGAAAAAACCCTCGCGATCGGCTTTTAACACAAAACAAATCATCAATCGCAGTGTTTTTCAAACGTTTTTTTCTGCATTGTTTTGCATTTCTGAACGATAGCCTTGTACTTCTTGCTTTACGAGTTCCCTAAGTTGGTCCAGAACTTGTTTTAGCGATATTGACGATTGGTCCACTCCATGAGACTCTTGTTGCAAGTAGAGTAGCTATTGAGCACACGCACACACACACACACACACACAAAAAGACATTAGTTAATTAGTTATTTAGATCTATTTCAATTATTATCCCACATCATTAAAAATACAGGTAATACGAATGCAGGAAAGCCGTTGTATATTGGATCGGAGATGTTCCTCCGTTCCTTTCGCCCCATGTAAGGGAATCCGGAATCCTGAATCCACAAAATTTTAGGCTTTGGAATCCGGAATCCAGCACTCTGGAATCCGGAATCCAGGCCTTGGAATCCGGAATCCAGTTTATAATGGAATCCGGAATCCTCCCTTTTGGAATCCGGAATCCGCTACTTTGAAATTCAAAGTATACATTCAAGTGCTATCGCCTCGACCAAGACTGAACAGATGTAGCCCCTCCCCCACTGTGTAATATCTCCACCAAGAATATCTGTCATCAGATGCTGATTTAATTGATAGACGATTCTACTTATACCGGCAAGTATATCAAATATAATTTTCAAAGAAAGTATCTGAAAATTAACGATATGAAATCCGGAATCCGCAATACAAAAGTTTTGGAATCCGTAATCCAGACCCTTGGAATCCGTAATCCAGAGTCTCGGAATCCGGAATCCACCATAAGTTCGGATTCCCTTACATGGGGTAATTCCTTCCCATCAGGTACTGGCAGGCCAGGTGTATTTTCAATAATGTGGGATGAAATGGCTAGATTGTTTCTGGTGACAAACCACAGGATAACTCACCAGTTACTTACACGTATTTTCTTCAATAATCACTGGTCTGAAGGCTCGTGTGTACACAATATAGAAAATACAAAGGACTCGTGGGATATTCCATGGTGTGTCACACAAAACCATCGCATAACTGGCATTTGTAATATTTTGCTATTTTTCGAATGCTTGTGTACATTATTAACACAGCATTTACTGTATTTTTTGTTCATTAAAGTTGATTACTTCATATTAGTCTACTGGACGTTTTTGGAGCCAAGTAACTTTCCAATTTTATAGATAACCTGAAACAACCTCTTAGATGAATTTTAATCAAGGCACAGCTTACTCACGGATCGAATTGGAATTCATCTTAGCTTGACTTTGGAGGAGGGAGGAAAACCGGAGAACTCGGAAAACCCCTCCAAGGGAGAAACCTAACTCACGTAATTGCCGAGTCCAGGAATCGAGACGATGGAGACCCCAGATGTGAGAGGCAAGTTTATTACCGTCCCCTCCCCCCTCCCCCCTCCCCCTCCCCCAGATTGAGCTGCTTTGACGTCACATACCTTGAACCTTACGCTAAGTTCCTTTGATCCAATGCCAACGAATGCGTAAAACCTTCCTGTACTTGGATTGCCGTTTTCTATGGTCCCTTCCCAAATCACTCTTCCATTCAGTGTGAACAGGACGGGAAGATTGCCGTTGCTTTCTCTTCCGTAGAGTATTTCACAGCCAAGAAGATCTCCTCTGTCAGCCATTTCTGGGAGGTGATCGATGTCTAGAAAAGATGGACTTCGAATCAGGTACTTGATACTTTGTTGTTGTTGTTGTTGTTGTTGTTGTTGTTGTTGTTGAAATTCTTCCCTATGGCTAAATGTTTTTTCGTAGTCAAGAACACAATTCGTGTGCGCTCCAAATCATGGAAATATGTTGCAAGCTAGCGCCGACTTGTAGCACATTTTCTAGCCTGCGTAACTCGAATGAACCCGGAATGAATTTGATGTGAGAAAAATAAGTGTTCGCAAGGTCTGAAACAAAAATGCACCTAAAATGTTCCAAAGTACCCCCTCCTCCCAAATAGCGTTACATAACAAAGATAAGATGTTAAATAAACTCTAGCATACCAGCACAGTGGTCAAACCAGTGCACGTTCCAGGAGCGTCTTGTTTTGGACAGGAATCGCGCAATAGAAAGTGCACTCGTGTGCTGTGTGCTTTCATAAAGCATGCTCTCCCAATCAATCGGAATGCGATATTTATAACAGTTAGTTTATAATTGTCAGTTGTTGCGCGTAAAGATTGCCCCAGTTGTCTATACTCACTTGGCCAGAAGCTTTGTTCCTTTTGTGTATAGTACACCACAGTGTTTCCCTCCATTTCAGGTATTTTATTAAGGTCAAAGACCTCGTCTACAACTCCCAGTATTAAACGATGATTGATGCTGCTGTCCTCTTCAATTAGTATCTGTACAGATAAATGATATAGGGAGCCTTAGTTTAAATTCATTTTTTAGGAGTGGGGAGGGGGGTGAGGTCCTACCTCAAAGCCAGGCATTTCTGGAGATAAAGGTGCAAGATACCTCGCCCCGTGATATTCTTCATAATCACCAATAGTACATCGATGACGGTCACGCGAGTCGTATGACAAGCGGTTGCCCAGAATATGAATTCCTTTGACATCCCATTTCTGCCTACTATCTGATCCAGCGCCTTCTTTCCTGTTGGGACCATGAGTGAATAACCGTTCTGCGATGTGTCCAATGAGATGACTGTTTCCATCCGTCTGCTTTACAACATGGTCCAGTCGGTCCCCTAAATAAATTTTGATTTTCAGAAAGGGATATTGTGTGCATTGTTACAGGGGAGTACTGTTAACTTAAGCCTCCTGAGGACAAGGGAAAAGACTCGAAACAATGATAGTTCAATATATTGCTTTATTTCATCTTACAAAATGCCATGTTTTCAAAAAGGCTTGGTTTTCAAAAAAAACTTGGTATATTATAACGGAAACCCCGACGGCTGGAAATCTGAGCCTATATGTTTAGATTCTCTAATTCAAAACCCAAATAAAAATGATAACGTTAAGGAAGAAGCACAAAATAAGGAACAGTTTCACGAACCAGTTTTAATGGGGAAGTCGTCGCCATGGACGGTGTAGTGTATAGACTCTAGTTCAATGATCATTTTCTTAAACTGCAGAAAAATATGAAAAGGAGATGGTTTTGATTGAAATAAATAATTAAATAATGAAATGATCATTTTAATTTCCATGCATATATATTAGAGTGCTCACACTAAATCCGTGAAACAAATACTAATTTTTAGCACTAAATAGTGATAATTAAACAATAGAAAACAAAGGATTCTGTATGAAATAGTACTAATTAGTACTAATTAATGTTCACGGATTTAGTGCGTGAACTCTATTATATAGAAATATTATTATAATAATAATATTATTCAATTATTATCATTATTATTATTATTATCATTATATGAAAAAGCAAGAAAAAATACAAGTCGTTTGAGATAAAATAATTAAATTGAAGTATGTGAATTTCTAGCTAGATCTTGGAGTCTAAATGAACCGTTAGGTTAATACTCTGTTGCTCAGGGTTAGCCTCGAGTTTGTGCAGAAAACTCATGTGCTACAGTGAAAGTGGTGGAATTTTAAAGTGTTTGTATTGTTGAAGTTGTGCATTCTTTACTTTACCGTTGGTATTTGTAAATATTTAGACACTGATACGAGGCTAACCATGAGTAAATGAGTCTATAATCAAGGAACACAGCCACGGTAATTTGGAACTCGAAAATGGTCTATTTCGAGTTAGACCCCAGCATAAGGTAAAGGAACAGCATTTACCTTTTCGTCATTTTCCTGTGCACTTCTTCTATGTTGCACTCCCCCCTATTTCGTTGTGAATCCGTGGAATATCAAGTGGAGGAGGAGAAGGAGGAGAAAGAGAAGATTCTTAGTGCATTTAAATACAGAACAGGAACTAATTTAAAACCAGGATTTTGCAACAGTATAGGTCGCGCAGTACGGGCCGCGCTTTGGATGGTCAAATGATGGGCAAAGTGGGCCAGTGATGGGCACATTAATTGTTCATCAAATATTTAAGGAATGGATCATAAGTAGCGTGCATCCATCGAGTTATGGATGCACGCGGGAGGTTGCTAAGTACGAAGAAAAGCGTAAGAGTTGCACGACGCGAAGCGGAGTGCAACTCTAGCTTTTTTGAGTGCTTAAGCAACCTCCCAAAACAATTATATATGATATAAATATTGTAAGTACAATTATAAATATATACTCTAGATTAGTTGCTTTACATAAAACCTCTTCTATATGGCTAGATTTGTTTATTTATTTATTTGTTTCATATTATTTAGTATCGTAATTAACATATTTTGTGTATTGCTTTTGATAAAAAACAATTACAAATGACAGTGTCTAACTCGAAAACTAAGTGTTAAATTAGACACTGACATTCTAAAAAAAGTAACTAATAACAAAAATATGAGGAAAGAAAAATGTAATTAATGATGGTAATTGAACTGAGTGGAGTGCAGAAAAATCAATTTAATATAGAAGAAGAACTAAATCAATCAGATTTTTCCTGGTATGAGATAAACGATTTATCAGCAAATCATTAAATATTCATAAATAATGCTAATCATTCTCTTCTCTGATTGGCAGAATATGAGATTGTGATTGGTTCTTTTAAAAAGATGCGATTAAGAGCTCAAAAGGATGCGATTTGGGAATTAATCGCACTCCTTTGAACCAATCAGATTGCAGGACTTGGTAGTTATTAGAAAAAGGATATGATTAACCGATTAATTTGTAATTATAAGCTTATTTTAAAAATGTAAAAAAGAATGTAAATAAAATATATTGTATTGTATTGTATGATGTATATGAACGAAATCTTATAGTGATCGATGGACAGATGACCGAAACTGGGAATGATAAGCAAGTTTTCAACTTGTTCACTAAAGGATGGTACACTGAGAATATCTTTCATCAAGGAAAAGTTAATCGAGGCATTAGTTTGAATTGTCATTATTTGGTTATATTCAAGAATCCAAGAGACAATTTGCAAACTTCAAATTCTCAATCTAGCCAAGCAAATGTATCCAGGAAAAACTGAATATTTTCTGCAAAAATATGAACAAGCCGTGAGTAGACCTTATGGATATCTCTTTATTGACTTGAAGACAACCACCCCAGACGACTGTGGGTTGAGAACTCATATCTTCCCTGGAGAGAAGAAAGAGCAAGAGAAAAATGTACCTGAGGAATTCCTTCATTACCTTGGTAGGCAAAATTTTGTACTACCCCCAGGAGATTTCGAGAATGCAAAACTTGAAAGATCAAATGAATACCCTCCTAAGGGATCCTAATATGGACAAAAGTCAAAAAGCAAGGCAATACGTTCAACTCCTGAACAATTATCTGCGCTACAAGGAAAAAATGAATCAACACCCCTTAGTAGATTCGCTGCGGAAATTCAGTCACCATTAGACCAATTATCTATCGAGTCTGCAAGGAGTTCACCGCTACCTGCTGAACCTTCTAACTTTCTTCCTCCACCCGCATTATCACCTATCACTGCCTCTCCTGTGTTACTCTCCACTGAACCACAAATGCCAGAGACTCCTACATCATCTCTCATGGCACCTTCTCCTTTGTTACAACCACCTTCTTCGCTATTGACTCCACCTGATTCACTTCCCAAACGTCGTAAACGTCCGCGTCTTGAACCAAAAAACTATCTAGAAGGTGATCCCGACAAAAAGCCTGGAAAAAGTGTGCTTCGATCAATACGAGTAAAGATGAACCGTTCCCCTTATAAGTACTAGTATGACCACTAGTTCATAACCTTCGACTAATAAAAATGGTTGATAATATTTAAAATATTGTTATTCTTCGTTTGCAATAGACGTCATAGCCGCCATGTTGGAAGAATTTGACAAAAGATTTTTCAATGAATTCTTTTGTTATATCTTCCAACATGGTGGACATCCCTTTTGTTATTGTGCTCTCTTGGAATTGATATTACAAACCAAGAATTATTGTAGTAAATGATAAATAAAGATTTTACACCAACGTTCTCCTTCGTATTTGAATAATTAGGTAGAACTTCGTAAGTCTTATTGCTTGTGGTTTATGGGTCATTAATTGTATTGTGTTGGATACAATAGTCACTAAATTATAATTCATAAAATGATATGTACGTTTGGATGATTCCTCAAATTTGGTGTTTGTTCTTAATAGAATTACGGAAGGATATTATCAAGAATTTGATCAACCAATCAGTTGGATTGACATCACTCTATCCGCTACTGAGCTAAGATGACGGACGATACAAAACCTTTCCCTAATGCGGTCTGTTAGTATCCCCTTCTCCGTGTGGGATTTGTCCAAGAATCTACAGCTAGGATATAATCCGCATAACTGCTGCGCATGTTCATATCACAGAAAAAGGCGCCATCCACTTTGGAGTTAAAAATTCGCTAATCCCCGCGCTCTATAAATCGAATCCCCAAACAAAAGGCTTGTTGATATCGGTCTAACAATAGTCCTATGACGTCAATTGGTCTCGATGGTAACCTCAAACAATAGCTGCTCGTCATTTTATGTTAATGGTTTGATGAATATCTAATTGAAAAATTAAACGAGCCTTACCTGTAAGGTGAAGTTTGATTGTGATTCTACCAAATCCAAGGTGACGCGCTGAGGGTTAACATGAGATGCACACGTGCTGCCGTGGATGCTCAGATTTTTAAATGTTGTGGACACGATATAGAGAAAAAACGGGTAAAAAGCACGGGTGGGAAAACAGAATAACTCTAAGGGAGGGCATGTTAACCCTCAGCGCGTCACCTTGGATTTGGTAGAATCAC